AACCCCTGCATTTGCACGGAAAACAATATAATAGAACAAAAAATAATAAAAATATATAAACAATAGTAAAAATCATAATATAATCATTGGAAAAATGTTCTAAGAAATAATAACTAAATATTGTTAAACAATTTTTTATATACAACATTTGTGGTTTTTCTATCAACAGAATTTTCATCACTACAAATCATATCTTCAAATTAAGACATATAATGGTTTTAATTGTTTAAATAATTATTGTATTTTGTACTATAGATCATATAGGAAATTTAAAAAAAAAATACTAAAAAAATACCAGCAAAATATTATAAAATAAATAATTGTATTTGGTTGATAAATAATGATATGTGCCAAATATTTAAGACATTTGAACAAAATGACAATTTTTGGGCCATAAAGAAATATATTGATTGAATGATAAAAAAAGTCCAAATTAGAAGTCCACTTAATTTTTTAGGGTAGCCAAAATCAAATATAAAACAAGTCAGTGATAACATGACTATAAATAGAGATAAACTCCTTGAGAGTGATGTAAGCCGTTTTTTTTTTGTTTGATGTCGGCGCTTCTCTCGTTATTCACTCTGTCTGAAACCCTAATCCTTAACCCGATATTAAGACAAACTCGGCGAGATTCAATACAAAACAACTGTTTTACCGGAGATTTTCTCCCGGTAAAGGTTTAAAAAATTAAAAAAAAAAAAAGACATCCGAGAAATGTTGTTTTTGTGACCAACAGTAGTGATCGAAAAATAAAATATTCGTCCCGATTTCTTAATCTGTGTTGCTAAATCTTAACAGGTCGGTCAAAATCGGGCGATAATATTACAAATCTATGATGAGCTGAAATATTTTTTGTTAAACGCAGTTTTTATTTTTTATTATTTTCAATGATTTGTGTCGTTTTCCGAAATTCTTTGTGAATAAGCTTCAAGATATATTATATTTTATACATAATTCGAAATTATTTAGATGTTTTTCAAAATCGTTTTTCGAAGAGAACATGACATTGGTCGAACTTTTTCAAACTTTTATGTATTTTGTTCAGGGTTTGAAAAAATATGTAAGTTTCTAACAGATGTGTTCAGCTCTGCTAACAAATATATATGTAAGTTTATAACATATCTGTTCATATCTTTTTATAACATACATATGTAACTTTTATGTATTTTGTTCAGATTTTGAAAACTAAATAGTTCAATTTTTTGTCGTCTTTCTCATCATATCAGTAAGTGAAGCTTTGTTAACACTTGTTCAAAATCGCTTTTCAATGTTATTCAAAGTCTTTTACCGAAGTTTTTCATATTTTTTAGTATTTTGTTCAAAATTTGAAAATATTAGGTAAGTTTATAACAAATCGGTTTAGATATATTTATCGCATATTAGGAATTTTTTGTTTAATGTTTAAAAGAATCTGTAGGAATTTTTATTTTTAAAACTTTTACGCAAAAAAATCGATTTTAATATAAAGGCAGATGTCTTGGTAAAAGTTGAATATGTTGATAATGATAGAGAAATCAAATTATATTTCTTTCTATATTGTATAGTGTTCAATAATGTTCCACATAATTTGCTGTGTTTTTAATTTTGATTTTTTCATATAGATTTGACTTTTTTTTGTTGATTATTAATTATGGTTGATATGTCTATATTATGCAACAATCTGCCATTACATACAATGCCTTGTCAATTCTCATTCTTTGACTTTGCCAATTTCCGTTTAATATGACTTTTCTGTTGCTGAAAGTATGTTTTTAATGCATTAAAATATTGATGTTTTAGATATGTTTTGATGCTATAATCATGCAGAAATTTGTCCCGCCACTTTTTTCTTAAAGAGGAATTGTTTAATGAAAATTAATCATTTTTATATTTATAATTGTGAAATAATATTTTTTTTCACGGCCAACAGTTATTTTGTTTTAATGAAAAATATGAGACAATTGATTCAAGACACTTTTTAATTAATAAAAAAAGAATGTTGATTGCGATAATCAAATATGCAGAAATCATGCATTTTATTGAATAGCAGTAACATAAAATATTTTATTATTACTACCAAATAGAAAGTCAAAAAATGTTAATTTTGCACTATTAATTATGATCATATGGATTTTTTTTATACATATGTTTTTTCAATGAACTTTTTAAATGATAATATTGACAATATAGACTTTGCTATAATAATTATATGGACTGTGTTATAATAATAATTTATTTATTTAATTCATAATTCATCTTATTATGCGTATAGTCTAAGTTTATAAATTATATGTCATTTAAATGTATCTATACTACTAATTTATAAGGTTTTACCATTTGGGGAGCTAAATTTTTAATTTTAATTATGAAACTAATCTTTCTTATCATTTTGTAGTTATATATTTGATTGAGTATGGCTGGAAATTAAATTACAAAAAAAATAATTTCATTTTTTATATTGTAATGTAACATGATATGTATTATAATGTTTGTAATTAATACATTTATTAATATTTCTTATAACTTTAATTGCTTATTCAATTTATAATGAAATAAAAAATAATAATATATAGTTTCTGCACAACAATAATGACTGTCACGTTTATATATATAAATGAGAATAAGAAACATAAATGTGGGATTAACTAAAAGAAATTTTTTTAATTTAGTCATTAACTAATTAAGTTTAACTAAAAGAAACCTTCTTAAATGTGAGATTAATGAGTAACTAATTAAAAAAATGTAACTTCTTTTGGAGGGAAAATGAAAATGTTTTTTAAATGTTTTATTAAATGAGGTTAGCTAGCAATTATATATATATAGATACTATTGAGGTGTAGTAGGTTTATTTGTAGGAGTGTATTTGGTAAGAACTCATTTTTAGCTTATAATTTGAAGAAAAACTCTTACTTTATTTATATTAGTATTAGTATTAGATGGATAAAACACTGAAGCCATTAGATGCCTCTGGGCTCTAGTCCCATGTCTCAAAAAATAAAAATGCTAATATTATATTTTTAAAAAATTTATACATAAGTCTCATTAGTCCCATGTAATTTTTTATGTAGCCCCATTTAGTTTCGAGTTGGATGCCTCAAGATTCAAGTTGAAATTCTTTATATGACAACAACGGAGGAAAATTGATGATCGCAGTGGAAAAAAAAATCCTTTATTGTCAAATGACAATTGTGTCCTTATTAGATTTTTATCAATTGGGTTTATAATGTAGCTCAACACACTCTTGCCTTTTAATTTTTTTTAATGAGTTGACTTGACAAGTACCAAATGAGCTGGATAATTAAGCTTGACATACACTTCTCCTGCTGGCTATTTAATTGGATTCGTCTCATTGCACAGTCCGTTATCCATTTTCATTTATTATTTTTTTGGTTGATTTTGCATCCAATAATTAATTCGGCCTCATTTCCTAGACAAAGAAAAAACTCTTACAGAGTTGAGTGTTGAGTGCAACATGCTCGACTCTATTTGTTTGATCGACAAGATCGATTAACTATTTGGGTTCGGCTTGTTTAAATATATAAGCGAGCCGAGATTGAGTTTTCTCAATTCAAACCGACATATGTTATCAGATAATTTGGTTCTAGTCATGATCATCAAAATCGGTTACAGGTCGAAATCACCGATCCCGGGCGAGGGTTGGAGGACCCTAAATCGGTGCGAACATATGCACGGGCTGGTTCATTGAACTGTCGGTTCTTGGTCGTCCGGTTCATTAAAAAAAATAAAAAATAATTAAAAAATGATATAATTTTTCTTTAAAAAAAAGTCGAACCTCGGGTTCCGGTTCCAGTTCGAAATCGAAATTTCCAGTTCAAAATGTATAAACTATAAAATATTGAACATGAACCGAACTGGTCAAAAACACGGGCAGGTTTGTGTCGGTTCGGCCTGAACCGGCAGGCTGGGTCGGCCCATGACCATATATACTCGGTTCCAGTAATAGCTACAATAATATGCAGCCCCGGGTCAAAAAAATTTCTGGCTACGCCCCTAGATCCCTACCTTTAGGGAACCATCAATGAAAAAATATTGTATTTTATTTTAAAATGCATATTAATCCACAATTCAGTATATCATTAGAATAAAATTCTCTTTAAAAAACCATCCCTCGTAGTATTTCAAATATAAATACAAGAATCTCAAAGTACTTATCACTTGCAATCATTGTTTTAAATAGCTCGCTATATAGCTTTTTTTCTAAAAAATGCGACGTGGCCTTATATATTAAGCGTTTTTCCCGAAAAGCTTACGCGAAATGTTGGAATGACACGCTTTTTTATGCTATTTTGCGCTATTGTGCGCTACATTGCGCTATATTTCTGCAACGACAATTAAACAATAAAATATTCAAAAACTCGTATATTTTAGGGATCAGAGTCAAATTTGCAAATGACAACTAAAAATTAAAAAATTTGATAATTATTTCAAATTAAAAGTTTAAAAATACAAAGTCCTAAGTGCAATATTTATCGATCCATTTTTGTTATATCATTTTATTTTTCGATATTTAAAATTTAAATAAATAATCAAATGTCATATCTAATGGTTAGAATTAAGTTGTTGTTAACTAAGAAAATAATAATTAAAATGCGTATACTTAAAATTCTACTATGAATTAACTCATTATATTTCGTTGTTTGTTTTTACTTTTTAGTATATTTGATTTTTTATTTAAATATTTATATTATGATATCTACATTACACATTTGTGAGAAATAATTCTTAGATGTTATTTTTGAAGTTATTCAAATACTATGATAATTTTTGTAATCAACCATCATGTTTTATTATATGCAAATATATTTGTAATATCTCAATAAGAAAAAATTATACCCAAATAGCTTATGCAACATGCAACGCTATTTGCGTTACTCAGTATAAAGGTCAAAACGCGACGCATTACGCTATACGCGTTTTAAAACACTGCTTGCAATAGAAGCAAAACAACTCAGCGGAATAAAATACTGGAATAATAATAATAATAAAAAAAAAAAAAAAAATCAATGGAAGGAAGATTATTAATTAAAGTATTGATATCCGTAATTGATCTATCTGGGCTCCAGATATTCTGAACAGGTAAATAATTCTGTAAAACAGCCAATCTTTACAGCAGTCAATTTTACAAAGAACACCCAAGAAGACAGGGTAGAAATAAAGCCAAGTAATAAAAAGACCCAAACTACACAACAAGAGAAGAACAGCAGAGCTTTAAACCACCCTACAAATCCACTCGAGTTATTTTATCGGTTATCTATTATGACTACAAATACTGAACAAACGGGTCATTTCTGGAAATTTGAGTTTCAAATTTCACCAGAGAGAAAAATTCCCGAGGGCACCATTAACCCTCCCTCTTTGTTATCACAACTTTGAAGATATTTATACAATAATGGCATATGTACCAGTAGCAAGCATTTACACACAGCATTCAGTGAAGCCTTTGTTCATCATCAAATTTCAAACTCTCGATACCCTTTATGGTTGAGTCGTAACTCTTTATTCCAATATTGTTCCTACCCGAAGGTGAGGTTCTTCCAGAAATGGTGGGTTGTCTAAGTGTGCCACTGGACTTTCCTAAGAAACTGGAGCTAGAGAGCTGCAAAATTTACAAGTCAATACTTCAGCGTTGAAAAGTCGAGCCGTAAAAACATGCAGTGTGTAAAAATGGAAAGAAGTGTACTCCCAGTATATTTAGTTGTAACAAGATATCGAAATTATTTACGATTATAACTGACTTACTTTGGTATAAGCATCAAGGGACCTCACATTGTAGAAGAAATCAGATCAGTATATATTTATACTAAATGTTAATTAGAAGCTATCATGATTTCCAATACTGCTAATCTAGTTTTTCTAAACGAAACTAATACAATTGAAGCTGTCTGATATTTTTTTCCTTATATGTTTTTTGTATTATATATTATTCCATGACAACTAACATTACCCATAAACTTAAGTGAGAGCAACAAGTATTCATACCAGTTTCAAAAGCCTCAACAATATAAAAGCTTCTAATCTAAAGCAAATTGTGACTAAATTCACGGCTAACCATAGCATCCTTGCTAGCTGAGTCATTTGCAGCTGGACTTTTCTGTCTTGACAAGCTCCCAGCATTTATAAGCTGTCCCGAACCTCTTCTTCTAGAAGGATCTGCTGAAGAAGTTCCTACTAGTCTCCATTCTTCCTCACCTGCATTAACATGAACTGATAGTGATAAGCATCTTAAGATCACAGATAACATGGTGGAAAAAAATCACGATACCAAGCAGCAACTATGTACCTTACAAGACTACATTGTTGAGGAAAAACTATTAAAAAATAATCAGGGCTTAATTAATAACATGGAAAGGAAAATGATAAAATTCCCATAGGAAAGTATCTAGCACTCACTCACCACTAGGAATTGCAGGGGGAAGTCCAGAGCTTGTACCAGCATTTGGGCCCTAAATCAAAATTCCTAAATAATTAACATAGTTGGAAAATGACACTTCAAAAATCCTTCCAGATTCAGTCACTTACAGGAGCACGTGGAGGGGCAGCCATCTGAGATTGCTGGTACTTCAAGATAGTCCAATCAAATACATAGTCAAATTGGAACCCTAGAGTGGAAATAACATGGCAAAATTTTACGTTTCATGGAACTTTGAGGGCAAGGAACTGGATCAAAGAAACTTTTGCCGGTGAAAACTAGGGCTTGATTGTTTATGAAATAATTTGTTCAACATGAGTTATTTTGGTTAACCGTAGTTAATTTTGAAAAAGTTGGTATAGTTAGTTGTTAGTGGAATTTTAAGAATGAATTAAAATAATATTTAAAATAAAATGATTAAAATTGATTTGATGTAAAAGTAGGACATAAATGATTGGAAATAATAAGTAGTTAAAATTATGGGAGTGGATGAATAGTGAATTAAAGTTGATGTGATATATAAGAATGATTGGTTTGTATTATTTAATTATATAAATAATACTAAAGATAGTGGGGATGAGTTAAAATTGAGTTAGATTTTGAGTATGAAATAAAGTTGAGTAAATTATTTCATAAACAATCAAGCCCTAACACAATTATTCAGCATATATCCAGACCTTCGCGAATGAAGAGATCACGGAATATTCTCTTAAGATAAGCATAATCTGGTCTGTCCTCAAAACGGAGCGAACGGCAATAATGGAAATATGATGCAAACTCGGTGGGATAACCTCGGCATAATGCCTGTAAAGAAGCCAGTCATTATTATATTTTCACAGAAAGGATATGCATCCAACCACAATTTCCGAGAATGAGATTTTACCTCAATAGAAGTTGACACCTTTTTCTCACTTATTTTCTCATATTTCTGTTTCTTAGTTCCAGCTTTCAATCCCTGCCAAGGTAGGCTGTGGAGCATAGATGTCAAACTATAAATCCCAATAATCAACACAACAATAGGGGCTAATATATTATGTAAACATACCTTCCTCTTAAAAAGTACATCAAGACAAATCCAAGAGATTCCATATCATCCCTCCTGCTTTGTTCTACAAAGAATATCAATAGGATCTCATCAAGGCATATTTAACTAATACGAGTAAAAAGAAAAGCTACAATATTAATCCAAGGTAAAGTAAAAACTAACCAACCTATGCCCAGGTGAGTATTCATACTAGCATAACGTGCTGTCCCGGTCAAGTTTTTATTCTCCCTGAAGTGTTAAGTTTATATAAGTTAAAATTGAGCCAATTAAATATACTCAGAAGTACCATATTTACACTAGAACAGTTAAAGAGGAGACTGTGAATTAAAATCTTATTATACACATAGAATGAGAGGACAAGTACAAAAAAAATATATATATATCTAAGAAGATCCCCGAGAATTCAGTCTAAATTAAAAAAGCCTCATGTACCAGAAGTGAAAAGGAATATATAAAAAGATTACATTACACAATTGCTTAAAATAGACAGGCTCCCAGAAGAAGCATAATAATAATAATAATATAAATGGTCGACCGGTATACTCCTACAAGCCCCACCAACAAACAACATGAAAGGCATCTTTCGCCTCATACGGCATACCTCCATCAAAACTGAAAACCTTTTCGTTATTATAAGTGCTGTCAATCACCTCACTGGAATTGAAAAGATACTGACTCATCAAAATTTCAAATTTATCTTTCACAACTATCTAAATCTTATTTCACCAAGAGACTATATTAATTAATTTTCTTTCATTAGTATTCCCTCCAAAATATGTATGGCATGGCTTTTATACTACGAAGATAATATTCTTCCTCTCATTTTGTAACGAAATTAACTTTTTTGATATGCCCAATAATTACGTAGCATATTATTAAAAAACCTCATTTCTCGAGTGCCTACTTAATCTCTCATCCCAGGAAGTCATCAAAAAGTTAAAACAGCAAGTTTGTAAGAACAAAACACATGTGATACCTAAGTGCAGGATTGGACCTCAGATGTCTACAATCAGAAAAACCGGTTAACCAAGTGAGAGTCATGCAGTCTCAAAAACCCAACAACAAGCAATTAATTTATGTGAATACAATAACAAATCGGCACTGAAGCACAATGAAAAGGATATCGATCTTCTAGAATTTGCACCTTGCTTCTATCAATGGTTATAAAATGTTACCTATAAACAAAGTAAAAAAGTTCATCTCACCTATAAGGAATATGTCGATGAGTTGAACTATCCCTATATTTCTTCGCCAGGCCAAAATCAATGATGTAGACCTAATTTTAATGCCAAGAAATATCGGATCAGCACATAAATCACCTAACCTAGATATAGCCAATAACAGAGTATTAGGAAGAAGCGGACCTGATTTGCACGCCGTCCCAAACCCATGAGAAAATTATCTGGCTTTATATCTCTATGTAAAAATGATTTTGAATGGAAGAACTCAACACGATTGATCTGAAATAATATGCGTAGAATGTTAACCAATGTATTAGTGTGTGACATAGGCTAGGAAAAAAGAGCGCTCCCTATTGGCAAGGCCGTTGATTAAGATTTAAAATAAACATAGAACAATAACCATTTGATCAGCAAGCATCAGAACAGTCTTCAGAGAAAGTTTCCTATTGCAGAAATTGAATAGATCTTCAAGACTGGGTCCAAGCAAGTCCATAACCAGAACATTATAGTCACCTTCGACACCAAACCATCGTACATTTGGTATCCCAGCTGCAATTAATTAAAATTAGAATACAATTAAACATATAATTTGTCATTAAACAAACAACAAAGTTAGGACCAATACTTCCGCCTTGTAAAATTCTGTACAACTTCGACTCATACAGCAACTGAGGATGTTTTGTCTTCACATTTTCCTGAAAAGACCAAATATGGGGTCAGAGGTTATTTTTGTACTAAATATGCATGAACAATTCAATGTAATTACTAAAAGTATGTGCAGATACACTCTGCTGCTCACACCCAAACCCATTTAAACCCCCTTCCACCCCAACAAACAGGCAGAGAGAGTAACACTCGAGCCAAAAGCTAAGCATGACATGCTGGTCAGTTACATTACAAAAGCTTATCAAGTTGAATTTATTGAAGCCAAACTAGATGTCTCCATCCATTAATGCAGTTATGTTCCCTATCTCAGAAAAGAAATGATTTAATATTTATTTTGCCTCACTATAATTAACCTGTCGGCCAAA